TAAGGGTTTTTTTATATTTAAAAATCTGTCCGACAATGAAAATCTGTTGTATTGTAAAATTCGTTATATCAAAATTCGTTGTAGAAAGAGTTGACTATATAGCTCAGCAAATTCTTCCAAACTAGTGATCACCACTCTGGATTGATGATCAGTATTTCAGACTCAGCCCTTAAAGCAATTTGCTAAATTTTTCACATTAAATATATTATTTTATTATAGCAATCATGGCAAATAATTCTGAAATAATTAATCAATTATATGAAGTGCTATTATATAAGAAGAAGGATATAATAGCTATTCAGAAAAACTTAGTATTAATAGTAATGCAAATCAAATAGCAAACATTGAAGCAAGAAAGCGAAAAACACTTGCTGATTCATATGAGTTATTGTTAAATTTGGTAGAGATATAATACCAATATGAAACGATCTCAGCATTGATGGCAATCCTATTTTAGAAGAGACACTCTGAAGCAATAATCTTTTACGAATATTTCATATAGAGAAATATGTAATTTGCTTTTATACCTAGAAGAAGATATACAGTAGCGGTCATAAGTATTCGACCGCTTGAGATCGTCCAAAATTATTATATAACTACCCCTTAAATTTTCCAGAAATATAATGTAACACAATACATAATCACCTGTAAATTTATAAGTGTTAATGATACAAAAAAAAATTTAGATGATCATCAAACTTTCACTTGAAAAATGGAACTTTTTTTAGAGAAACAATATGAAATTATCTTTTTACGTGAGCATCCAGCTGGTCCAAAGTTTTGTTTTGGATTTATTACTAAACAGGTACGTTGTAATAAGTCTACAGCTATTTATTGAGTTAAAAGATATCATAAAAATTAGAATCTAAGTACTTCAGAAAGACTGGAGTAACCTTGTATAACATTCGCGAAATAAGATGATAAGATTGTAAAGATGGCAGAGAAAGAATATAATATAACAGCCATTCAAATACAAGAAAAAATGGAAGAAAGAGGTATTAGGCTTAGTATAGAAACAGTAAGGCGATGTCTTCGTAAGTCTGGAGGAAAGTTTAGTAATGAAATTTTTAAACCTTTGCTTAAAGAAGACCATCAAAAGAAAAGGTTGCAATAGGCAAAAAAACATAAGAATTTTGATTAGAATCAAGTTGTTTTTACAGATGAGAGTACATTTCAATTATATACATCAAAAAAAAAGGTCTGGCAGTTTTCTAGTAGAAAAAAAGTGTTTCGTTCTGTTAAGCATCCACCAAAAGTTCATGTTTAGGGATGTTTTTCTGCTTCTGGATTTGGTAAGCTATTTTGCTTTCAGAGGAACCTTAATGCTGAATTTATGTGTACTATTTATGAGAAGGGTCTTCTGGCTTCCACCTCTAAACTTTTTGGTGAAGGTAACATAGATTGGATCTTGCAAGAAGATAATGATCCAAAGCATCGATTGAAAATCGCGAAAAAATGGAAGGAAGAAAATGGCATTGAGGTACTTTCTTGGCCATCAATGTCTCCAGACTAATACCCTATAGAAAACGTTTGGAGGTTAATGAAAATTAATATACAAAAAAAAAAATTCGGTCAATTAGAGGATTAAAGGGAGAACTTACAAAAGAATGGAACCAATTATCATCTGTACTTATCGCAAATTTGGTAGCTAACATGAAAAGGCATACAGCTGTACTTATAGAGTCAGATGGTGATTACACAATGTATTAATTTTAGTTAGTTGGTTATGTATTTTTAAATAAAAAAAAAATTTTGAATTTACTTACTTGTAGCCAGAGTTAAAGGTGGTCAGATACTTATGACCGCTACTGTAAGATTGAAAGATGGAACAAAAATCATAATTGTTTAACTGGTTTAATTAATATAATTTATTTTTTATACTATATAATAAATGATCGCTTAGTGGAATTAGCCAAAGATGCTATGCATGATCTGCAGAGTTAGATCCTCAGCAATATACTGTATAACAATTTTAATAAAATATTTTTTGAGAAAGATTCTGAATATTGTCTTAATAAAATATTGTTAAGCACCTCAAGGCCAATGCATATAGGCATATGCAACATAAATAAAATGTGTTTTTGATCCTCGTTAAAGTATATATGATGTAATATGTAATAGTTTGCAAATCATCTGTGAAACTATACTTGTGTGATAAAATAATTTCACATATAAACCGCTCTCCCAAAATATTTTAAATTTATTCCTTATAATATTTAGCAAAATAAGATTTAGCAGAATAATATTTACTGATATGAATATTTGTTTCAAAAGAACAGGCTCTCTGATACCATTAAATTTCGAAGAAAATATATTTATATAGCATTGCTTGGGTCTTAATATTAACTATTAAGTGGTCAGGTAAGCGAAAAAAATCTGTATATGCATTATCCTAACGTTTTTTGTAAATGTTGAGATCTTCAATGCATATTCTGCATATTTTTACTAATGAACATAGAATTTTAGCGTAAAGTGCCTTGCATATTCCTCCTATCTTCCCCAACATAGATGTGAATGTAAATGTGAGAAAATGATGGCATTTAAAAGGGTGTATAGGTAATTTTTAGCTTTTTGTTATTTATTTTGCTGTTGGTGTTATCTTAGTATATTAATATTATTTTATATTCTAAACTAACTACATAAATATATTTACTGTAATGTATAATAAGATTTATAAATTTTTGATGACTGCTGAGAAATGTCAAATAAATGCTACGTCTGTTATTTATCTTGAAATAAAAGAAAACCGCTGGGTTTCTCAGATAGAGTTAAAATTAATTGTAAAACGAGCTGTAGAATCTGTTAGCAATGCATTTATGGAAAGTTCTTCTCATCAATTAAAAATTTTCTGAATCCTACCATAGGTTAGTTAAGATTTATGTAAATATTTTAGCTTTTTATTATTATATTATTATAGGAAAATATTGATTCAAAAGATCATGTGATACACATGACCAAAAGCACATAGACTGTATCATGTTAGATGATGAAGATAGCGAAGATGAAAGAAATAAGTTAAATAAAGATTACGCAAAAAATCCAGAAGTTGCCAGAAAATTCTATTATATTATTAATCATTTTATATTATTAATCATTTATTATTTATAATCAATTAGTATTTTATTTATTTATATTAGAAAATTTAGTATAAATAGGATAGCTTTAGGACTTGATTAAGGATAATCTCAAGTGGTAATAGATAGTAGTAGATAACAAAAGATAATAATTGTAAACAATTGGAACTCAATTAGTTTTTATCATCAACAAGATAAATACTAATAACAATTATATGCTAACAAATATAATTGTAGTGAATTCCTTATCCTTAATAAAATCCTAAAAGTTTATTCTAAATATACATTATCATTTAAAATAATAATTATTTGTAAAACCTTCAGAGCTCTCCCTAAAAGTATCGAATAAAAGCTAAATCCCTTTATTAATCTTACGTTAATACTAATTTTCAGTCATTAGTATCGTAAGATAACAATTTGGTGCAGGTTGGGTGGATTAAAAACCAATCTGACAAATCAAACGTATGCGAAGGACACTTAGACAATTAACAGTGACTGTAGGACCTATTCTCTTTCAACTTCAGCTGCGGTTCGCTGAGATTCAATTTCAGTATAAATCATTAGAGAATGAAGAAGTTATTTCAACCAATCATCTTAAACGTTATCAACGGAGCAATTGACCAGTCATAATAAAGTCACATGGATGATGCAGCATAATGATATTTTAATCCAGAATTCTGAAAATACTGAGAATTCTGCGAATTCTGAGAATATGGAAGATTTACGTAATTCTGAAGATTTTCCAAATACTGATGATAATCCTAATTTTACGAATTAGATAAAGTTTAAAAATATTTAGTGTTATACTTATTTTTAATATTCTAAATTTTTTTGTTATTTTTATTATATTTTATATTCTTATTATTTTACGTATATTTATTTTTCTTAGTATATTTATTTTACTTATATTTTATTTTGCTAAATTAGTTAGTTTATAGTATAGTAATTAGTTAGCTGAGACAAAAGAAATTTTGTATAAATAGATAGACTTTTCGCTTATGTTGTAAATTAACTCTTTTGCAAAGCAAAGTAACTCTTTTACGGATTAACAATTGAGTTTCAATATTAATAAAGGAATCATTCAAAACTTATATCTTTCTACCTCTTTGTGTCTTCATATAGTCTAACGTGATCCCTACATATTATTTGTAATTGAGTTTGTCATTTGAATTCTTTAATTAAATTGTTCATAATCTCGTCTTTCAAGTCTTCATACTTGATAGATTTTGTTTAAGTTTAACACGTAAATTTGGTAAAGTTAAGAGTTAGACAGATCCTAATATCTTAACCGCAGTAAACCGCAGTTAGAAATTTCGAGTAGAGTCTTGATAACATGACCACTCCAAATTGAAGAATTTCACAGTGACAATGTTTACAAAACAACATCAACGATCTAAAACATTTTATTGAATTTCATAAAATTAAGGTCACATGAGACAAATTAGTATTTAGTGATGACTACTTTGACAACGAATCTCAATAAATCTGGAGGAACTTAACACTGACCATATCACTAAAAAACAATACCTACTAACCATCCAACAACACATAGCTGCTCATAAAGAACTTGAGAATTATAAAATCTCATTTATTACCTATTTAAATCAATCCTGCTGACAATGTTACTAAGACTACGAAACTCAATCAGGAAAATTACTATCTTTTGATAATTTTTGGTTTTTGTGGATTGCATCTAAATATAACGTTGTATCATATACTACCTTTACTGTAGCATATTTTATAAGGGCCTAAGAGAGTGAGGCTAGCTTTTTAGAAAGAGATCGCTTATTGAAATATTTGTTGAGAAAAATTGTTACTACAATTAGATATAAGGACAATATACTAAAGGAACTCTTTGATAGCATCACTGATAAATTATATCAAATTTGGGTAAAAACAAAATAGTTTCAATCGTGAAAAATTGAAAGTGTTAGTAGTACTGGCTCAATTATAAATAGCAATTGTAGTGATACCTCAGAAAATATGGAAAAAGATCGAAATGATACTATCATAGCACCTTTTTAGGGAAGTAATGAAAGCTCTCCTGGAATGACACTGCCAATAGCAATGAATAGACCATCATCAGGAACTACTACACCTATACCTCAACCACCATCTAATATACCATCTTATATACAACCACAACAATCATACTTGAGAGATAGAAGGCAATATGATGAAGAAGAAAATGTCACATATGCCCCTGATTATGAACAAAATATCTTATTTGGATATACCAATTATGATGATGAAACATTACAGGAAACATCTTTCTTTGACAATGCAAATGAATTAGAAAGAGGAGGAACCCCAAGTAGAATACCTCGAAGAGTTACATTTAATACAAGTAATGATAGGAGATCTCCATCTCCTGTTAGGGTAGAAAATGTTCAACAATTAGTAGCCTCAACATTATCTAGTAATCAATCGTCAAGGCCATCAAATTTAAGGATAACGACTCTATCAGTAAGAAATACAAATAGTGAATCATCATTAGGAAATCCTTATAATTTTTCTCAAGCAACTCAATATAGTCGTATATTTGACCCCTTGGTACCACTTGATCCTTTCCGAAATAACAATTCATCTATAACCTTCAGTTTTACAACTGCAAATTGGCAACCAGTAAATAACCGTTGGCTTAGAAGTAACTCAAGTAACAGAGGAAATAATACAATGGGACATCAAAATGTAATTACCAAAGGAACCTTACGGTCAATAACGGTAGCTCAACCAAATAATACGCAGTCACTATCGAACTCCTAATGGGATAGTTCTCAATCAACCAGCATAATAACTTCTCAATCAGTACCTAACAGTCAACCGTCAAATTATACAAATACCTCTCAGCCTATGCCTACATCTCAATCAGTTATAGTAGCAGTAGGAGGGAACAATGACAATGCTTACCTTCAAGTTATACAAGGACTAGCAGGATGGCTTCAAGGACAATAAACAAGAGAACAACGATTAGTAGATTTACTAATATTTAGAGAAGGAAATCAAAATCCGGTGGAGTGGCTTGAAGCTTTTGAACGAGCTTATAAAGTGAACCATATCAATACTACTTAAATGGTTGAAATAGTCTCCAGTTATTTAACAGGAACAGTACTGACATAGTTCCAATGACAATATGTAACCAACTGGAATAGTAAGATCAATCCTGGCACTTCCTTTATACTATTATTTGAATAACATTTCTGCAATACATTTCAACAAAACCAATGGAAGCATCAGCTTAGACATAGGAAGCAGAAACTAGGTGAAACAATTGAGGAATATGCGGCAGCAATAGGAGAATTATGGAAGTAAGTCGACCCACAGTACAGGCGAGCTGAAATGGATAGAGTTGCTGAATTTATTGAAGGGCTATAACCAGAATTTATGGTACCAGTACAAACAGCAATGTTAACGACAGTAGATCAAGTAATCGAAAAGGCCAGAGCAGTAGAATCTGCATATTCTATTAGAATAGAACTATCTACATATTCGCTAATGCCTAATTATATGCAATTATTACAAGAAGGAATGGTACCAGCTCGCATAAGTATAGCAATGCAACCTACATATACTACACAGCAGCCAGATATCGAAGGCACTATTAATCACAAACTAAATGAAGAATTACAAGCGATTATGGCAAATATTGGGCAACAACAGCAACAACAACAATAGCAACAGCAACAGCAATAACAATGGCTACGCAAATGTTTTAATTGTGGAAAATTTGGACACTTGTTTAGAGATTGTAAGAGTAATTGACATATGAATAATAATCAATCAAATATTGAATGCTTTAACTGTGGAAAGTATGACCATTTTACCAGAGATTGCAGGGGTACAAACAATAATAGAGGTTGAAGCTTTCAAAATCATAATGATAATAACAGAAATCGTAACTGCAGTAATAGCAGGAATAGGAATTATCAAAATAATAATAACAATAATAACTATAATAATAATAATAATAACTACAATAATAATAATAATAATAACCAACAGCATTTAAACTAGAAGTCGCATACTTAGGAGTGAGTGTGCGAACAAACCAAAGCTCCTAAAAGTGAAGAAAGAGAAAGAAGCAAAAGAGAATAGTCAAGGTGAAGTAAAAACAAAAGCAAGTTTAATAGAAGTACCTTATGTATGTAGAGGAATGAATTCAAAAATGCGATTCAAGGGATCATATGAAAACAAATATGATCACTCTAGTTGTGAAGAATATAACCATCACAGTCATATTATATGTACGAATTGTAATAAAATCGCTAAAGAAATAGCAGCACGATGTGAATGTAAGGAAGTAAAATTGAAGGATCCACTAATTGATGAAAGGATTTTCAGTAAAAATCAGCTAATTAAACCAGTAGATCTCTAACAATAAGGAGAATTTACTGTTAAAAAAAGGCTGAAGTATGTATTAGGGATCTTATATGATGACAAAGGAATCTATCTTTCAAAATGAATTGACCCAAATAAGGAAATGTATAATTTATGGCAAACAGTCAGTGGGAAAGTTGAACTAGGAGAATCATTGATAAGGACTATGATTCGAGAAATTGATAAAGAAACTGAAATACAATTGGATAAAGATCACTTAGAATACATTTTAAATGATCCTACATATAATTGTGACATATATAAATAAAGCTAAACAAAGAAATACCTCAACATACTGAACCTACCAAACATAGAGATTGGCAACATTTTGAGTTTGATGAATATTTACAAATGGCTGGCCTAAATGAACTAACACCAACACATAACAAATATGGAGAATTTTTCATATCTAAATTAAAGGAACACATTATCACTAGTAATACAGCACATGATGAACCTATCAAGGATGCATTGTTTATTAAAGTCCAAGTGGAAGGATACCCTGTAAATGCTTTAGTAGATACTGGATCTGTAGAAAGTATCGTTACTCAGTGGTATCTTAGGCAAATCAATAAGAAAATTGATGAATCTGCAAAAACAAAAATCATGAAAGTAGATGGAAAAACTATGATGCCTTTAGGAATAATTAAAGGAGTTACAGTAGAAGTTAATAGAATAACTGTTAACGATAATATGCTAATAACCAATGCTATGGGATATAATATTATCTTAGAAAACACTTAGTTGCAAAAAGTTCGTGCAATTATTGACTATAATACTGGTATTCTAGTCGTACAATAAGGAGATCAAACTTCTATAACACCTATAACTTGCATACAAGATATACATCCAGAAAGGTTTATACCAATTAAGCCTAAAATAACAGTAGATGAATTAGAATTTGAAGAGTAGGAAGATATCGATATTTAACAATGTTTTGCTATTGTTCCCAAAGAAAAAGAGAAAGTAATTCAAATAAATAGAAAGAAATATCCTGAAATATACTTACAACAAATTGAATACGAAATGGATGTGCAACAAAATAAAAATTGGACAGGATCAACTACATGCTGGTGTTTGAAAAATTTAGGAAATAAAGGCTAATATGATGATTGTAGAGAACTTATAAGGATAGTACAAACTTAGCAATACTATAGGAATAGTATAGATCTACAAGTTACCTATAAAGTTTAGATTGAAGAGAATGACATTTGAGTAGAAATTGGTAATGATTCAGGAAAATATACAATCTGTGGAAAATTAACAGATACTTTTTCAAAACAACTAAAAGCATTTCTTGAGAAAAATTTTAATAGTTTTGTGACTACAACACAGGAATTAACACATTCAGGACAACATGAATATTGTATATTTACTAAAGATATATCATCAGTTGCACTAAAACCATACCGAACGTCAGTAAAATATGATCAGTATATTCAGCAGAAAATTTAAAATATGTTAGATCAAGAAATTATATGACCTTCCCAAAGTCAATGGAGCTCACCCGTAGTTCTTGTAAGGAAAAAAAATGGAAAAATGAGATTTTGCATAGACTATAGAAAACTAAATGATGTAACAATAAAGGACCGATATCCTTTACTAAGGATAGATGAATTACTAGAATCCTTGGAAGAAGCAACATGATATACTACCTTAGACTTAGCTTCAGGATACTGGCAGTTTAAGGTTAAGAAATAGGATAAATCTAAAACAGCATTTATTACAAAATATGAGTTATATGAATTCAATGTAATGCCATTCAGATTATGCAATACACCAGCCACCTTTCAATGAGCTATGGATGATATATTACGAAAAATAAAAGAAAATTTGTATTAGTATACCTTGATAATATCATCATATTTTTCAAAAGTTATGACGAACATTTACAACATCTCTAACAGGTTTTCAATCTATTAAAGGAGGCTCAATTGAAAATAAATCCAGATAAATGCCATTTCTGCACAAACAAAATTCAATTTTTGGGACATGTAATATCAGAACAAGGGATACAACCTGATCCAGCAAAAATCGAAAAGATCATCAACCTTAACGCTCTATTCAATGTTAAACAATTACAAACTGTATTAGGATTATTCTCTTACTACCGACATTTTGTTAAAAATTATTCTAAATTGGTAGCTCTATTAAATGATTTGCTAAAAAAAGATGTACTTTATAATTGGACAAAACAACATCAAAAGATTTTTGAAATACTTAAGGAAAAATTGATGACTGTGCCAATCCTATCCTATCCTGATTTTAATCAATTTTTTATTTTGAGTACCAATGCAAGTACTACAGGACTAGGTGCAGTACTTTCACAAAAAGACTATAAAGGAAGAGAACATCCTATTTGGTATGCAAGCAGAACATTGAGCCCAGCTGAAAAGAATTACCATATTACTGAACAAGAGGCTTTAGCAGTAGTATAAGCAGTTAAATATTTTAGAAGGTATCTAGAAGATAATACATTTATTATATATACTGATCACTCAGCGTTGTAGTGGTTGTTGAATCAACTTACTAAAGAAAAGAATAGTAAAAGGATTATTCGTTGGAAGATTCTATTATAACAATTTCAATTTGAAGTAAAATATCACAAAGGAAAGGCAAACGCAAATGCCGATACTCTCTTAAGGATTGACGAATTATAGGCATCAACTATATCACAAACCTTAACATCAATAATAGATCATGGATAAGCAACAATATCAAAATATAATTCAATACCTCACTAACTTTACTTACCCAGAAAATTGCAATACTTCTCAACGGAAACAAATTCAATGATTATCAACCCACTATATTGTTAAAAATTCATAATTATACAAACCAACCAAGAAAGGATTAAAAAGAGTAATTACACAAGAACAAGTGAAAGTACTCTTATTTAATTTACACAAAGATATGTCAGGAGCACATCTAGGAATTGAAGCGATATACAATAAGGTCAAAGAACGGTACTATTGGTTACAAATGTTCGAAGACATTAGGAAATATGTGAAAAATTGTGACAACTGTCAATGAAGAGGACCAAGTATCAGAAAAGAATTATTACATCCTATTTTAGTTAAAGCATCTTTTCATCGAGTAGGATTAGATATAAAAGGACCATTACCTATTACAAAAACAGGGAATAGGTACATAATAGTTGCAATGGATTACTTTACAAAATGGTCAGAAGCTAAAGCCATTAAGGATATCATGGCAGTAAGAGCATTATAGCCTTTGATACAAGTTGCCTGTTTAATAGGTCTACCAAAGATTTCCTCAGGTGATTGGGTAGTTTCTTGCAGAAGTTTAATAGAGCTTCATCATTAAAACTACAGCCAGGACATTGAACAATTGACCTGTTATTATAGTCTAGACTAAGGTCTATGTGAAAGCTGACATAGTAGCAAAATTTTTATATGAAGAAGTGATATGCCAACATTGTGCACCTGAGGAAATACTCACAGATCGAGAAACATCATTTATGAATCAGGTAATAGCGCAATTATATCAAAAGTTTCAAATAAAACATCGATTGACATCACCATACTGACCTCAAACAAATAGAATGGTAGAAAGATTTAATCGAATATTAGGAGAGTATTTAGCCAAATTAGTATATGATCAAGAAAATGAATGTGATACTTATGTTTCATCAGTATTATTCGCCTACCGAACAATGAAACATAAAAGTACAGGTTACACTTCATTTTACCTTATGTATGGACAACAAGCAATATTATCAATAGATTTGCAATTAAATTCTGTTGAAATAGATGAGCAAAATATTAATGATGCTCTGATGAATAGATTAACAAATTTAATTGACAAATTAGAACAAGATAAACAGGATGCACTTGTTAACATGAATTAAATACAAGAACGATAAAAAGATCGGCATAATGATCAGTGAGTATCAGAAAGATTAAAAATTGAAGAAAAAGTTCTAGTTGAGAAAATATGAAAACGACAAGATATGTCAGCCAAATTGGAAGCTCAATAGATTGGTCCTTATTATATTCATGATGTAATTAGTTTTAACAATTACAAATTAAGGTTACTGGACGGACGAATAGTCAAAGGAACAGTACATGGTGATTGACTGAAGAAATATAACGAATAGAAGATAGAACTAATGATAATTATTCCTTAAATTAGATACCAATCTTAGTATACTTCTGACGATCAATAATTATAATATAAATAGATTCGATTTTATTAAAATAATAATAACAAGGAAAAGATGTCACAGGAATATCAACGAATATATTTTGATTTATTAGAAATTAGTCCATCTAATGTAATGTTACCACTCTTGCCTGATATATCTTTTCAATATTTAAATATGAAGATAAAAATACTATTTCGATATACCTGATGACAAATAGTTACAAGGAAAAGAAAAGAATCTTTAATTTATCTTTATTATATAGGAGAAATAATCGACAAAGAAAATATCTCGCAAAAAGACTCAAAATTATCAAAGTATTATTATACTGCAGCAAAATGATTATTTCTTATTTTTGAAGACAATATTAAACAAATTATGAAAACACAATGTATTATTATTCAAATGGTGAAAAAACTTAAAATTGATGAACTCAATGAATTAATTCAATAGAACTCTGTATTGAAAGGATCTGATCTTGAAATAGAAACACCAAATTACTAAAATCAAAATTTAGAAGTCAATATCATGTGATTAAAAAAAAAAAAAATTGCATATTTTATTTTTATAATCATTATTTTATTAGAAAACTTTATAGATATAAAATGGAAAAAATGCAATAATATGCAAGATTTTATTGAAAATAAAAAGATAATAAGATACATCAAAATAGAGGAGAAAAGGAAAATACAATTATAAGAAACTATCTAGGATAACTATTACTAGCTATAAAAGATAAAGAGAGAGAGCGTAGTCTATAGAACGGCCAAAAGACGACGGCAAAGTGTAGTTTTATGACAGGCAAAATGCAAACGATATCTCTCCCTGAAAAGATATTTAGTAGTAAATTATTCATTAAGAGACACGTGATAAGGAAAATTAAATTCTTCACTTCTCTGATGAAGTTGCTCCAATAGTCTTCTAAAGTTTCTTCAGATTTGGTCTAAATTATTCTAGAAATTTTGAACTGATTGGACATCTTCATAACTTTGGAGGCGATTAACATCAGCTCTTGTACAATTGTATTGAAAGAGAAGGCTCTCATATTCTACTTCAAGGTCTTGATATCGACGCTTATTATGAGATAAACGGGAGATAAATGATGAATTTCGTTAGATAAACCATTTACTTGAGATAAAGAGGAATTTAATAGTTGTCGAAGCCTGTGATTTTTAATATCAAGTTCATCTATCCTTTGTCGTCTTGTCTCTTCTTCTTGATTTCAGAAATTGTATTAGTGATGTGCGAAAAATTGCTTGCAGAAACTCTTGCTCATGTTGAAAAGTTAAAAATATTTTAAGAAAAGTTTGAAATTTTACAATAATTTTGGAAGAAAAAGAAAAATTTTAAAAGAAAATAGAAAAAAAATTTTGACAAATATTTATACATAAAGGAAGTGGCTGTGTTAAACTCTTGGAAATTCTCAAGGTCGTGAGAATTTCCTCTTCTGTAAAACATAAATAAATAATTATTGGTTAATTATTTATTGATAATCATCATGTAAAATCACGCAATTGATCAGCAAAATTCGCAATACTATTACATAATCGATCAACAAATTATATCCCATAGAATAATTTAGAATGAAATAGAAAATTTTTTTAATATTTACTGGAGTTCATTCTTTAAAGGGGGAATACTGTTATAGAAAGATATTGATACAAAAGATCATGTGACACACGTGACTAAAAAGCATGTTGACTGCGCCACATTAAATGACGAAGACAGTGAAGATGAGAGAAATAAATTAAATGAAAGTTACGCAAAAAACCCAGAAGTCACCAGAAAATTCTTTTATATTATTAATCATTTTATATTATTAATCATTATTAATCATTTATTATTTATAATCAATTAGTATTTTATTTATTTATATTAGCAGATTTAATATAAATAGGATAGCTTTAGGATTTGGTTAAAGAACATAATTAGATAGCAGTAGACAATTATAACAAAATAATTGTAAACATTTAGAATTCAATTAGTTTTATTACCAACAAGATAAATACTAATAACAGTTATATGCTAATAAATATAATTGTATCGAATTCTTTATTCTTTAATAAATTCTCAAAGTTTATTCTAAATATACATTATCATTTGAAGTAATAATCATTTATAAATCCTTTAGAGCTCTCCCTAAAAAGTATTGAATAAAAGCTAAATCTCTTGTTAATCTTGCATTAATATTAATTTTCAGTCGTTAGTATTGTAAGATAATAATATGAAAAGCAATAATCTAATCTATCATTTAACAGTACTATTTTTTTTGAAGATATGTAACCAAAAATGATAGATTTAGACTATTCGCATTATATCTGAAATGATAAAATATAATAATATATTAAATAGTAATCTAATCCTATTTTTAAAGAATCATCTGAATTCATTCTAATTTTTTCATCAGATCTGAATAACAATCCAAAAGTAAGATTTTATAAATCTATCTATAATACATTTATTTTAATAATCAAAGTAAATATAAATTAAAATAATAGTATAATATATTGCTTGCTCTTAATCAGATATAGATTATCCTCTAACTATTGATCTTAAATACCATGTAAAGATGGTTAAAGATGTACTCTAAATCTAATCAATCTGGATATCTGATTATTCATCTGAAATTTGATCAGATTCAAATTGATCTGTTTATATCATCAGATTGACTAAATGAATTATCAGATATCTAGTAAACAAATTACATAAATGATTTACTAGAAATCTGATCAATTTGACTTAGATAAGCATAAATTTTTTTTATTTATTTTTTATTTTATTTTTTATTTAATTTTTTTTTACAATAATGATAATATTAAATCTATGTATTACATCACTCACTCACTTACTCACTTACTCTCACTTTCACTCATTTTCACTCTCACTCTCTCCTCCTGAACCTTTACTTCAAAATGGTTAAAATTTTGATTTGAATAGTTTGAATTTAAACGGTAAGTGCAAAATTCTTCCTTTTTTTTATCTTGGAAATATTACTAATTTTCATTTTATTTCTTTTTTTTTAAGGAACGCCTTCTTGGACCTGAAATTCAGCTAGACTATGAAGGTAAGTTAGTGTTTTTATTTTTTCTTTGTCATTGAAAATGTCACTAATGTTTCTTTACTTCTTTTTTTTAAGGAATGTCTTCCTGAACTGAATTTCAGCTTAAGCTATTAAGGTAAGTTAGTGTAGGGGATTTTTTTGATTTTCTTTGTCTTTAGAATGCTATTAATATTCTTTTTTTTGTGAGTTTTTTTTTGTTTTTCTTTATCTTTAGAATACTATTAATATTTCTTTTTCTTCTTTTCTTTAGAAAATATCTTCTTGAATCTAAATTTCAGCTTGGACTATAAAGATAGGTAGTATGAGGGATTATTTTTGTTTCTTCTTTGTCTTTGAAACGTCATTAATGTTTTTTTATTTTTTTTTTAGGAGATGTCTTTCTGAACTAGAATTTCAACTTAGGCTATAAAGATAAGGTGGTATAAAAGATTGTTTTATTTTTAGTTGTTTCATAAAATATTTGTTATATGTATTCCTTTTTTTGATTTATATATGCTTTTTTTACACGCTCTTTCTTTTTTTTTAATTATTTTTTTTTGTAAAAAGTTTTTACATTTTTATAATAAATTTTTAATAAATTTATAATATAGATTCAAGTTCTGTTGAAAATAATCAAAATAATTCAAATAAAATTCAAAAAAAAATAGGAGAGTCACAAAAAAGAAATTGTGTATGGGATTAATTTGTATCTAATGATAGAATTGCTACATATTGTCACTGGGTTCATTTTCGTTTATCTTAACGTCTAAGTTGAAAGGCTGCGGCAGCTGATTCTACACTTTGGAGTTTCTGACCTTAGGATTTTTCTCTAAGTCCTACAGGTATCCATTATACTTGAATCAACTCGGCAATTTATCACGTCTTAGAATTTAAGATATGTTAGTCGAACTCGTAATGACGAACTC